GTTCACGGGAGCTGCGACTTGCGGATCGTTTCTAGTTTGACGAAGATCTGCTTCTTCCTCCTTACATCTTGAAGCCCAGAACGCTGCTTCGCTGAGGACACACGCATCCCGTTGTTAATTATAAGTTTAATTTGTTCTAATTTCTCTAAATTTACCTCAATTTCTTGATTTTGTATTTTTCTTTGAGTTTCTTGCTTCTGTATTTTTCCTTGCATGCCAAAATTTTTTCTTATTTTTTTTAGTTAGTGCTAATTTTCCCTGAATTCTCCTTCATTAGGGCTAGTTTTTCTTAATTTTTTTCCCAAAATGTTAATTCATCAAAACCCCAAATTAATCGATAAACAAAAGCTTATGTCTGCTAAATTCCCCTAATGAGTGAATATTTTGTTTTGGTCCATTGTTGTATGAAATTCTCTTAATTTCTTTGCCCTTTAAAGGATTTTAATTTGGTAGAATTTCTTAATGTTTTGATCATCGAATTATTCGAACAATTTGAGCTAATCGAACGCTCGAAAAGTTCAAATAATTTCGATTAGCTTAACGAGCCGAACATGAAATTAACGAACAACTAAACGTACGAACTCGAACAAGCTCGAGTATTAGTCGGACTCGAGCTCGAACAACCCAAGCTTGATCAGGTACGATTCGTTTACAACACTATCTCTAACCATACTGATGATCCCAGTCATAGGTCACGGGCTCTGATACTTTACCCCGATTAACAAATGTCAAATCAGTCCATCCAAACTGACGAATACAACTACGGTTGATCTAGCTATTAAGGGTGTAAAATTAGTCTATTTAATCCCCTTGTTTGCATGTGGAATTCTTAGAAGAGAATCGATTTATGTAATAATTTGGCAAAAAAAAAAAAAAGATTAGTTAGGCACAAAATGAGAGAAAATTAATGAAACCTCTAAGATTAATGAACTAGAGTGATGTGTGCCAACGACCTCGTCTGATTTGCATTTAACATGGGGTTCACTGTTTTGGTTGGCCTCCAGCTAAGTAGGGGGTCCAATAGAAAATCCCTATGAATTTGTGGTTCGAGAATAATTGTGATGGTCAGTGATG